TTTCGTAATAGTTTTAACACAAATGTTTGAGATATCCCAAACTCACGGGCTAATGTCCTCGCACTTATCCTTGGATCTTCATTTACCCGTTCCAAAATAGCCTCTTCCAATCCGACATCTTGTATAAAGTTTCCAACTATTTCAAAACATTTAATTAATTCAATTAATTTTGTATGTTGGCTCAGCTATCAGTGTAAATATTTATTGTTCTTCTACTGGTATTCTATGTCTATACAGTATTTATTTATGAGATATTTATTGGTTATTTATTGAATTATTTATTGCATGTTAATATTTATATGATTTTTTTTTTGCCTAGTTATTAGTAAAACTTTTTTACCAACCTTGGTTATTTTGCATGTAATTGTATTTTGTAAATGTATTTTTTTGATGTACCCCTTGAGGGAAATCAATAAAAAGGATGATGATGATGAAGTTTCCAACTAAGCGGCCGTTGGTGGGACACTTTCCATTTTCACGCAAACACTGGTGGACGCGAAAAAATGTTTTTCGATCAGGAATCCTCCTGCCTGGAAAGCGTCTAATGTACTCGCGAACACTCTCAGACGCATTTCCGGAACAAAAACCATTAACATAATGCATATCAGCATATTCTGAACTTGTGAAAGGATCCATAACGTGAAAAATAACAAACAAGCGTTTTAATCTGACTAGGAAACCAAATAACGTTATTTACTATAGCTGATTTAGACTTGCTAACAAATCATAACAATTAAATCAGCTGATTTGAACCAGTACGATTTGAAGCAAGACATGTGTTTAATATTAGAGTTTAATATTAGTAGTTTTGTTACCCTGTGTAATATATGTTTATATTAATTGTACAAGAAGCAGCATTTGATTTTATAATGTTGGTTGCATTCCAGATGTTAAAGACTTTTGTTTTGTTCTGATTGTTAATTTTGTAAATAACAATAATAATAGAGCTGTGATTGAAATGGAGAATAAATTGAATACACTAGATTTTATCTTGTTCTTATAAAATATTACAATGGCGCAGTCAAATTAAACGGACCTCGTTCCGAGTGATAGTAAGTCTAGTAAAAGTAAAGTTTTTTTTTATACCAGATTCTGAAGAAGATAAATCTAAACTTAAAAAAAGGAGGTAAACTTAAAGACTAAGATGTTAGGAATAGGTAAGATTGGTGAATTTAACCCACAAGATGAGTCCATTGAATCATATGCAATGAGGCTTAAGCATTATTTCAAAGCTAATGAGATTGATGACGATACTAAAGTTTCTGTTTTAATAACTGTTGTAGGTCCAAAAGTTTTAACAATTTTGTCTGATTTAGTTTCACCTGCAGCTGTAGATAGCATAAGTTATGAAGAGTTAGTTAAAGTGCTTGAGAACTATTTTTCTCCAAAGAAATTGGTGGTAGCTGAGAGATACACTTTTTATTCTCGTGTGCAAAAACCTAGTGAGAGTATTTCAGAGTTTGTTGTAGCGATTAAACATTTAGCTAGTTCAAGTAAATTTGGCACATTCTTAAAAGAGGCTCTTAGAGACAAGCTTATTTCAGGGATAAGTAATGAGGTCATAAGGCAAAAATTATTGTCTGAGGATCAAGAATTTGAAGAAGCTTATAGTTTGGCACTCAGATTAGAGCAGGCTGAAAAACAGACAAGTTTGTTCAATCCAAAACAGGAAATTTGTCATTTAAATTCCAAGCCCAATTCTTCACATGTGAATCAAAATAGGCAGACTGGTAGTCATTTCAATTCAGCTATTGGTACTGGTATGACTAATATTAATGCTAAATTTCAGTGTTACAGATGTTGTTCAGTTGAACATAGGGCCAATGAATGTCCATATGCAAATTATAAGTGCAATGGGTGCAACATGGTTGGGCATCTACTAAAAGCTTGCCGAAACCAAAGTAAAGTTGCAAAATTTGGAAGGAAGGACAAGTCAGGTGCTAATAGAGTCCATCAAATCTCCGAAGATGATGTCAGTGAGCTTAGCTCAAGCTGCAATGAAGTTTCAAATAATATGTGTTTGTACAACTTTGGATTAAATACAGGTATGGCAGCTTACAAGGTATTTAAGGCTAACTATAGAGAAGGTTCTGGTGGAGATGGAAATTGACAGCGGGTCAGCTGTATCAGTTTGTCCTTCAGACGTTTTTAATGAACATTTTTCTCATATTGAATTAAAGCCTGTTTCTATGAAATTGCGAACTTACACAGGTGGTGACGTGCCTGTTCTAGGTCAAGCTGAGGTTAGAGTTTTATATAAAAACCAGAACCTAGTGTTACCACTATTGATTGTTGAGGTTTGTCGTAAAGACCAGCCTATTTTGCTTGGAAGGAACTGGTTAGCAAAATTAAAGTTGGATTGGCATGCTGTATTTTCAAGATCGTATGATACTACTGGTACTAAATCTAAGTCTACAGTGAATGTTACCACATGTGAATTGAAGCAATCTAATTGTGAAGTTGTGTTGCCTAATGGCAAACTTGAGGCTTAAGTAGAGGCGTTAAAGAAAAAGTACAATGCAGTGTTTCAAGGGGGGCCAGGAGAAATAAAAGGTGTTAAGGCTCTAGTCACTCTCAAGGACAATGCTGTTCCTAAGTTTTGCAAATTTAGGCCTGTGCCTTACTCGTTAAGGGAAAAAGTAGAACAAGAATTAGATCGGTGGGTTGAGGATGGTATAGCGTACAGAGTTTCTAGTTCAGAATGGGCTACTCCGTTAGTTACAGTGCCCAAGACTAATGGTGTCCGATTGTGCGCAGACTTCAAAGTAACATTGAATCCGGTGCTACAGACGGAACATTATCCATTACCTCAACCTGAGGATATATTTGCTTCTCTGTCTGGTTGTACATATTTTTCAGTTGTGGATCTCACTAATGCTTATCAACAATTAGCTGTTGCGGAGGATTCACAACCTCTGTTGACGTTAACAACTCACAAGGGACTATTTCGACTAAGACGTCTGCCATTTGGACTTTCTTCAGCTCCAGCTATATTTCAAGCTGTGATCGATCAAGTTATAAACGGATTGCCAGGTACTGTAGCCTATTTAGATGATGTTTTGGTTGGCGGCTCAACAAGAGAGGAAGCCTTTTATAGATTGGAGAAATTGTTACAGCGTCTTATGGAATTTGGAGTACAAGTTAATGGGAGTAAATGCAAGTTCTTACAGCCTGAAGTGGAATATTTAGGCTACGTCATTTCAGCATCAGGAGTCAGTCCACAACAAGGTATTGTTGAAGCTATTCAAAAAGCTCCCGAACCTACTAGTAAAGACGAGCTAAGGGCTTATGTTGGTTTAATAAACTATTATGGAAAATTTATTCAAAACTTGTCTGCACAAATTCATTGTTTTTATGAACTGTTAAAGAAAGATGTTCCATGGAAATGGACCGAGCAATGTTTTCAAACATTCAAAGAAAGTAAATCTTGGGTTCTGTGTTCTGATGTTTTAGTACACTATGATGTCTTGAAACCTTTAGTGCTCACTTGTGATGCTAGTCCTAAAGGAGTTTCTGCCATTTTGTCCCATATCATAAACGGAGAAGAAAGACCTATAGCGTTTGCATCAAAAACACTGAGTGCCAGTGAGAAGAACTATTCACAGCTCCACAAGGAGGCGTTGGCACTGATCTTTGGAGTGAATAAATTCCATAAATACATTTATGGGCGTACCAATTGTATTTTACAAAGTGATCATCAGCCACCAGCAGCTATTTTTGGATCGAAGCCAGGGGTGCCTAGTTTAGCTGCTGCTCGCCTACAACGATGGGCCCTGATTTTGTGTGCCTCACGCTGATACGTTGTCACGCTTACCACTACCCGAGAATGAAACTTTGGAGTTGGATGAAAATTATATATCTCATGTGGAATCTTGTGTAAGAGAAATGAACTTCTTCAATTCGGGGAGTGACGATTCTCCAATCACTTCTTTAGAGATAGGACAATTGAATGATAAAGACCCACTGTTGTCTAAAGTTCGGGATTTTGTGTTGTATGGGTGGCGTGAAATTGTAGACCCAATGTTAATTCCATTTCAGAGAAGGAAAGATGAATTGCAGTGGATAAAAATTGCATTTTATGGGGCAGTAGAGTAGTCATACCTAAGAAATTGCAAGGTAAAGTCGTCCAGATATTGCATGAACAACATCCTGGAATTACTCGAATGAAATTGTTGGCACGCAGCCACGTGTGGTGGCCTGGGATCGAAAAAGTAATTGAGGATGCTGTGCCATCTTGTTTGATTTGTCAAAGTACAAGAAATGCTGCTTCAAAAGTTCCATTGCAGCAATGGCCGTTAACTTCCGAGAGATGGCGCCGAATTCATATCGATTTTTCTGAAGATCCAACCACCAGACAGCAAATGTTGATTGTAGTGGATAGTTTTTCAAAGTGGATGGAAGTATTTTTAATGGGTTCTATTTCCACGGGGAAGACCATTGAGAAACTTCGTACACTATTTTCTGCTTATGGTTTACCTGAGGAGTTGGTGTGTGACAACGACACGTCTTTTACAAGCCTAGAATTCAGGAGTTTCTTAGAAAAAATGGTGTGAAACTAACATTTTCTCCACCATATCACCCTGCCTCCAATGGAGCAGCCGAGCGTTCTGTTCAAGAAGTTAAGAAAAGTTTGTTAAGGCAAGTTTTGGGTGAAAAATCATTTGGTACTTCAGTATTAAACGGAGGCTACATTTTGTCAGCGCGCTGCGGCGGTTATGTTAGGTTGGGTTATCGTAAATATTATGTGTGTAGGACTTTCCTCGCTTCGTTATGAATCGAACGATACTTTCTATTATGATAACCCAACCTAACATAACCGCCGCAGCGCGCTGATAAAATTTGGCCTCCGTTTAATACTGAAGTACCAATCATTTCAGCAGACATCACTGCAGTATAAATTGGATAACTTTCTTTTCGCATATCGTAATACTCCATCGTCAGTAACCGGTGTGAGCCCGGCTGAACTGTTCTTACGTTGGAAACCTCGAACAAAATTGACTATGTTAAAACCTAATCTACTAGACGAGTCAAGGAAGAAGCAGGAAATGCAGAAACGAGCCTCAGATAGGCATAGAGGTGCGTGTAGATTTTTTAATGAAAATCAGAAGGTGTTGGTTAAAACAGTCAGACAGGAGAAGGTTAGTTGGGTTCCAGGTCGTATATTACAGTGTAAAAGTCCAGTTACTTATTTGGTTAGTGTTCTTGGCAAAACAAGAGTTTGCCATGCAGACCATCTTAGGCCAACTGAGGTAGAGGAGGACGAAATCATTGTGCGCAAAGAGGAAGTTGGAAGGACTATTGAGGCACATCAACAAGAATTCAATAGAGATTTGCCTATTCTTCAGGAGTCTACATCACCATCAATATCAAGACATGATGCTTCACCTTATTTGCCTAGATTGAAGTCTGATGTTGGGAAACCACGGGGTGTACAATACAGTCCATCTACAGTTTTGAGGAGATCACAGAGGACTGTGCACAAGCCGGAGAAATTGGATCTATAAAGTTGGAGAAACCAAAGAGTCAGAAGAAATTTTAAAGTTTTAAAGTATTATGAGCCAAGCAAATTTTAAGTGTTGGCGAGTGTAATATATGTTTATATTAATTGTACAAGAAGCAGCATTTGATTTTATAATGTTGGTTGCATTCCAGATGTTAAAGACTTTTGTTTTGTTCTGATTGTTAATTTTGCAAATAACAATAATAATAGAGTTGTGATTGAAATGGAGAATAAATTGAATACACTAGATTTTATCTTGTTCTTATAAAATATTACACCCTGCTAAAACCAAATCGGTAAACCGGGTTTTACTTTAGTTTGATGGCAGTTTTTCTGTCAATTCTACCAACAACAATTTAAAATTGCATATAAATTTAAAGCTTATTAAATGAGGAAGTTTTTTTATCTAGTTGGACATTGCGTGGGACCAGAATAAAGTAAGAAAAAAGGGTCTTAAAACTTAAACAAATTAACTATTATACGATATTTTTTACTTTAATTCGGCTAGGAACCGATGTATGTAATGAAATATTTTTTCATGTAACCTTGGTTTTGTAGCAAATTTAATGCCCTTTCGAATTATTTTTTATATAAATCGATAGAGTAATTGGTTTTATTTTTATAAAGTAAATAGTGACAGAAAGTCCAATATTTTTAGAAAACACAAAATTCTCAATTACGACCAAACGGTTCGGAATCGGACTAGGGTTTATATCAACTTTTTTGATCATTTTGGTCAGTAGAATCCACTGGTGAAGTTATGGGTGTCAGTAGAAACTCACCCTGTATATAGATTTCTTAGAATTTAGACATGAATAAGTCATTAAGGACTCACATAAATCTATAATAAACAGAAACTTATAGGTTATAACTTACTTAAAAGTCGAAAGACTGCCCACAATCTGAGTAAAAACTAAATATGTTTTTCAATATTTATCCTAGATAAATGTACGTACAACTGTTTTTAAAATAATTAGTTTAGTATAAGGATTTTCTAAATAAATTATAAACTCTAAACCTTTTGTTGAGGTCATCAGAACTTTTTTGAACAAGAAAGAAAACAGAAAATGTATTATGATTAAGATAAGCATATTAGGTAAAGGACTTATTTGGTTCTACGATAATAACATGTTTACTCGTAACAATCGTTAGACTAACTACGTGTTGCAATTGGGGCAAAGCTTTGTTGAGTCTGGATATTTGTAATTTCAGATAACTGTAAAATGTGCAACAAAAGCAATACTCCAATACTGTTATATGGAAGGTAAATAAATAATACAATGAGTTGCACATGAATGTTAAATTATGATAGTTATCGTATATTTAATATTCTATTTCCTAAAGCGGTATTTTAGCACATGCCAAATTAAAGACAGGACCCGTGAAACAATTAAGATTCCTTCGACAGACGCGTCTGCAGAATACCTTGTAAGCTTTTTATGATACTATACTGTAGTAGCCTATGAATGTAAAATATACGGGAAATGTCTCTTATTTTTAAATAGTTCAAATAAATCACTATGTATACACACCTCCTTCCTCAATTCGGATTCGCAAATACCGAGTAAAAATCTATCATCACTTACAACACTGAATTTGATTATACAATGTTAACTGTCTCCATTAAAATAATAAAGAAACTAAACAAGCCTTAAACTTGAACGAGAACTCATCAGAATATCACCTCATTCACTCGAATAAAAAAACAAAACAAAAACATCGTATTTGCTAAATAACATTGGAACAGAAATAAATAAATAGTGTAGGCCTAGCACCTATACGGTGTTTTATGAATATGTTATATAAAATATTATATAAATGTTATATAAAACAATAGGCCCTAGCCTGAAACTGTTTTACACATAATCTTAGGCGATGCCTTGCCTAGAGAATCATAGCATTATCACATGGATAAAAGTATGTTAGTGATTGGCAGGGTTTTAACCTGGAACCTCAGAGACCAAGACCTTACGTTACCACTACACAAGCTCACTTACTAAAATATAACTATTACTCAGGTGATGCATTGTTATTGGACTTATGAATGAACGTGCAGTTATTGTGTGAAAATCCCTTATTTATTTATGTTAAAGTGCTTACTATCTGTTTTAAGCATGAACAAGAGATACATTATACAATTCTTAAAAGGGAAAGGTTATCTTTTGATGCCGGTATATTTTTTTGTGTCGTAAAACTTGTGCAGACTATCGGAAAACATTTGACAAATACGTAAACAAACTCATCATTTGGCGCCAATATTCGTCTGGCAAACAACTCGTTCTCTCTGCGACTTCGGGCCATTGTTATTTTACTTAAGAATAGTTTCAATGTATTAAACTTTTATATATACCATTTTGTTACAGGTTTGTGAGGTTGGCTGTGTCACTCTTCTAATGATTCTACACAAAGCTACTTGCGTCCCTGGATAGATCCGTTTGGTTTTAAATAATCCAACAAAGAGAACAGGCGGAACTGAAAGCCAAACTCTAGAAATATAATTAAAATAAAAATAACGGTCATTAATGCTCAAATGCACTATGTTAATTTGTGATAAAAATGAAAGACCTAAACATTTCTACTTTTGCAAATAAGTTGTTCGAAGATTTATCCACTATGAGACCATTTTTGGGAAATGTTAATATGTCAGCTGTGCACAAAAAACAATTACTTTTGAAATCAAAATAGGTTTCACTAGAACGTGTCGAACGGGAACAACTGGTATCATCCTCCTGTTTTCTGAATGAAGACTTTAAATTAATAAACTGCGCCCTACATTTCTTATGAACTTTTTGACCAACAATTACATGGAATTCAGTTATTTTCCTTGCCTTACAGGTCGGTGTATTGCTTCAATTCCTTTTTCAGTGAGATATGACACCTCACAATCTGTCGTGTATAATTTGTTCACAAATAAAACATGTTTTGATATTAATTTTTCTATTTTATAATCGTCATACTAAGGGGGATTAACATGAAACTAATGAAAGTAAACTAAAAACATGTTGAAATATTAACAACAACAATCAGAACTCTCAGCTGGAACAAAACAATCATTTTTGCCAAGTTGAAATCCATAGCTCAAAATTTCCCTGAATTACAATAAATTGTTAAAATTGTTTGACAACATTATTTTCTTGTAAGAATGTAAGTACTTACCTTAACTTAACTTATAGTTATTATATACCAAAAGTTGCGCAATTTAATTCTTTAAAATTTACTCATTTACTTATTTAAGCTACCTGTAATAATTTAGGACTTATTGGCTAAAAACATAAATATTTCCGGTAGCCATTTTGAAAAACCTTTCATACAAGGCCAACGCACCTCCGTAGAGTGGTAGACTTTACACCATCGTTTTTTTCAACCATTTTTACATAAGAATCCATTGATATAAATTATATTACAATTACTTCTAGGTTAACCAACAATTTTACTAGTCTATAATCCTGACCGTTTCCAATATCCAAATTGTGGCATCCTTGAGTTGATCACCCTGTATACAAGAATTACAATATATTTTTGCACATAGATTGTAACTTAGCTTGTAATTATGGTTATAATTTTCATAATCTCAGTTAAATAATAGTTGACTATATTTGGAAGTGACATTTTTGCTTCCTCTATGTCTGAGTATTTCTCACTTTTTTATTTCGGTTAGGTTGTAGTACTATGATATTATATGGGTCTAATCACAAAAGCTGCAATAAATCTGTAATTTATTTTTTTCAAAATTTATAAATCCAATACATCATTTAAGATAAACAATTGCATAATTTATATGGTCTGTAATCAATCTTCAGACGACGTCTCCACCGGGCCTCTGCACCTCCTCTCGCCACATGTTCTGAAAAAATTGTAAATACATAAATAACATTACGTGTTTCAACTTATAATAGTGATGACTTCTCAGTTTCAACCAACCAAGAACCTGGTAGGTTAGTATTTAGAAGGAATATCTGTTTTAGATTATATTACATTGTTAACTATGCTTACTTAAAAAAATTCTATAAATTGTAAGAAATCCATCCTGGGAAAGGCAAAAAATATTAGTCTTTCAATTTTTCTCTCAACATGGATTACAAATATTTAAATATGGGATATAAGATATTAACTTGGGAAGTCTCCCATTCCTTAGCCTAAATATACAAATTTAAAATATCCACTCTATACCTTCTGTTTAATGTACAAATAGTTTTGGTTTTTATGATACTCTTTGCATCATACCATTCCAGATACTGCGTCCTTTGTAAAAGTTTCCTTGGACATTAAACTAAACCTTTGATGCTTATGATCTCAATCAATATAAATACTTACTTCCAGCTCCTCGTCTGTAGGGTTGAATATAGGATTTGGTTGCGCTGGAGCGTTGTGATCACTGAAGGTGACCCGGCTAAGGTCAAAGCTGTTAGACGAGGAGACTGGTGACGGCTCTGGGGTGGGTGCAGGGGCATCCGGGGGTGAGGACCGCAGCCTTATCATCAGGTAGGTCACGGCGCCAGAACAGCCAACGGCCAGAAGGGCCAGTAGTGGGTGGTCTCTGAAAGTGTATTTTATTTCCTGTTTCAAGTAACAATTTTGTCTACATTCAGTAACTACATTTAACTTAGGGTACTTGCAAGTCTCTATAGCTGAGCCAACCAATAGCAAGGTTGTTACGTAAGATTCTCAAATTACCATACATTCTATGACCAGTAATAACATTTATTTAGAGTATGAAGATGCTGGTCCAAAGTTCACCATACATGAAACCTTTTAATATGAAGATCAAGGAAATGCACGTATGCATACATAAATGCTTATGGAATGAGTGGTTTATTTTGGGAGGTTATTAACTGCATCATATTTCATTAAAACCGTAACTACTTCAAAATAATTTTTTTACTGAATACAGCTCATTTAAACAGCACAAACAAGATGATCAAAAAATCTTTACGAGAACAGTTTGTTGTATAGGTAGTATAGATTACAAAACTAAAAAAATCTTGGAATGTAGATAAAATATAT